GTTCCCCTTTCTCTTTAGGATGTCATTTTATAATAAGTAAATGTTGTGTCCAAGGTAAAACTGCTTGATTTTGAGGCTGGAAATGCCTTTAACCTAATAAAATGATCAAAATCAAGACAAAAACTCATTCAGCTTCTTTTTTATCGCTTCATATTTATGTTGATAATCGGAATTTGGTGCAGTACGAACCTTACATGTATCTTAAACGATTTTGTCAAAAAATAAATGAAGCGAAAGGACATTCAACTTGATCTGTAACTCATCAAGATACATTCACATAACAAAATTCAGTTCAATATTTGCAAGCGTTAAGAAAAAAAATGCGGACGGACGAACAATTCTTAATGTAATAATAAAGGTCAAGGTAATATCATTCAAGAGGTCAAATATTGTGACGTAATCTACTGAATCCTTAAGTTTTTATGCCATCAAATTTTTTTCCGAAAACGGAGGGGACTTTAGGTTTCCTCTGCGTCTGTCTGTCCGTCCGACTGTCTGACCGTCCGTTTAGCTGTCCGTCTGTCTGACCCCGTCTGATGAGTTACAGGTCAAGTCTGAATTTCGTTTCGCTTCATTTATTTTTTGACAGAGTTATGGCATATTTAATTTTTCATAATGGTCGGCTTCGTGCGGCGCTAAATCCTGTTGTTCATCATGCAATTACAACATCTGGGACCTTTCCGACTAGCGGAAAAACGACCTCGATTGTATATGGTAGACGCCATGACAACCCTCCTTTTTCGTGAAAAAAAAATGCATGGAGACCTTTTATTTGTGGAATATGGAGTTTAACTTTATTCAATGTAATGATATTACCTAAAATATACTATAAAAGGGACTTCTAAACCCGTCTATCCTATATTTGAATAAAGAGGAAGATGTATGAAGATGTATGAATTTTTTTTACATCCGGTGAAGTTAATACATTCGAGGTTGTTTTTTTCAACCTCTGACGGAAAGACCCGAGATGATACGATTTGGTCATCATGATAAATATAAATATGAAGCTAGAGAAAGACGATAAAAAGGAGAGTTATCGTCTTTATATTTGATTAGGTTAAAGGTAATCATTACAACCTCAAAACAAGCAGTTTTACCTTGGTCAAACTTTTGCATATTATAAAATGACATCCTGAAGAAAAAGGGGAACCCGGTAGGGGACATGTATTGCTTATGCAATGCTCTCTGCTTATGCAATACACTCAGAATGCTATTTCTAAACCACTGGTTAAATTTTCTTTATTTTCATACATTTGTTTTTACAAGTTTTGTTTTATATTGGTGGCCATTTGAATCATTCTGTTGATTTTTTCCTTGTTCGAATTTTTTTACATTCGTATTTACAAAAAATGTTTAAAAAAATCAGCAAAACAATATATCTCCTCCATTACAGAAAGAAATTTTATTTCTTCTCATTTCTTTCATTTTTTTTTATTTATCTGTTTTACGAAAGCACGCTGAGGCGTTTAAACGCAATCACCCATTCTCAATATAAGGGCACAAATGCCTCTCTGATTTTTTAAAAAATGAAGTTCAAGATAACAATTTTTTTATCAATTACTTTTGAAAGAAAGATTTTGTTTCCAGATTTTTTTTCATCAAATTATAATACATGGAATAATGACAAGACGATAAAGTAGAGGGTGGTTTTATTCAGAAAAGTAGCTTGAAATGTACGTTACTCTTTCTTCAATGTCCAAAAAGATATGTTAAAAATAATGTAGTCATTAAAATCACAATTGGAATATCTCATCTTAACACCAGCACATCCTACCAACTCTGTCAGCAACATATTTTCTCGGCATACGAACGTGCGTTTGATTTTTCCTTTCAAAAAACAAAGGTTACTTTTTGATCCAGATGTATAAAAACATTTTTTAAACATATGCTTTACATTCTTCCCTCTGTTTTTGTTTAGAGCGATCAGTTTGGAATCTTGTCATTTTCTATAGATACTGGAACCTAACATGTACATGTAGTAAAATTCTATTTTGTAGTTACTGTCTTTTTTAACATATATCTATGCCGATTTAGAAAACTACGTAAATGTAACGTACATTTCAAGAAATATTTCTGTTTAATAAAAAGGTTAAAATTCATCTAAAAATTCATCATTTTGTTTCCGTTATTCCAAAAAAGATTTTCTATGTAATCACATTGTGTTATATGTCACAATCACCACTATAAAGACACGATTGCCTCAGAATATGAGTAGGTAACGTACATTTCAAGCTTGTAATAATATGTAAATTAGTAATAAGAAAATATTGAAAAAAAAGCAATTATTGGCATAAAAATCATTTCAATGAAGCGTTTTAAGGCAGTAATATAAGAAATCATAATGTTACAAACGAGGTTATTTGTCCTCAACTACATGAATGTCACGTCACTTCGGTAACGTTCATTTCACATATTATTTGGGAGTCCCCTCCACCTCAGTTCATTACCATTTTTTGTGCTGTTTCGCTGAAATGGACACCCGTCGTAGCCTAGTTACATCTACCTGTGTGCAAGGGTACAGACAAAACAAATATAAGAGTCAGACGTATTTTGCTATGTTCTAACAAATGCTCGTGTTTGGCCATTGAAACTTAACATGAATCTATTCCGAATATATCCAACGACAGTTTGTTAACAATATCATTTAGTATGTTGCAACATCGTTTTTCAAAACACAAACATACGTGCTTTTAAGCAGATCTGGAAAAATATAACCCAAAATGCAATGATTCAAACAAAACTGAGTATTGTGTGCCTTTCAGTATTTGAATTGTACGTGACCGTCTTGTGTTCTGGGTTTATTTGTTTTGTTTCTTTTTCTTTTTCTTTTTCTTTTTTTTTTACCAATTATAAGTCTACGCATACCATGTTTAAAATTATCAACAACAATTAAATTAATCTTGACGAAAAGTCGCATATTAAAAGTAAACAAACTGCAAAAAGGTTGCCAAAGATGAATTTAAGACACTTAGAAATAAATTTTCTAGCATGTGGTAACAGTCTAAAACATTTACGAGGATTTGGGGTGCATTTAGATGGATTTATGTGGCCAGTTGTCAAATGGATTGTTACGATAATTTTGTTTCGCTCGTGTAAACGCAATTCATTGACTAAATAAAAAATATTGTCAGTTAGAAATACGTAAAATGTACGTTACCATACGTAACGTACATTTCAAATATAAAAATCAATTCTCTTCCACAAGCGTACGTTAGACACTCAATATATTGATACTACTTGAACTTGCACATCATAAGAAATGCATCATACAGGTTTCGTATTCAGAAATATATATCAGGTATCAAAATTATATTACATATAATTGACCTTCATATATTTTTTTTCCTCAGCAGAAACGTTTCTTTTCATTAATTTTGGGATTTAGCCGACCTCCAACCTTTGAAACTTTCCTTTGTGTACATATTAGAGTGTGTGAAAGTATGAGAATACATGAAAATTCGTGCGAGATTCACTTAATTCGAATTTCAGGGTAACGTACATTTCAGTCACGTACATTTCAAATGATCGCTTTTCATGTAAAAAATAATTTTTAATTGTGTTAAGCAAAACGTCTTTGCCAGTTTACAGGATACAAGGTGTTGCTTATTCAGAGTCGTCTCATATTTTCTACATAATATATATTCTTAATGGAAGAATATAGGTAACGTACATTTCTTTCTTATCTCTACGATTGAAAATGTCTTTCATTCCGTAAACATATTTACAAAAGTTGCTCAAATTGTTCAATTTCATGTTACATTATCTAAGTAGGAGTAATTAATCCTTTGAAATTTCAAATTTAGCCCATCAATAAATAAAGGAGAACAAAACTATCAGGTGTATAATCTTTGTGTTTGTTTGTAATGTGGTTGAAATAGAATTAAGCGACAGGGACATTGTACAATAAAATTATTGATTATCACAAAGAAAATGTATTTATTGCTATGAAAAGAAATATATATGATACAAGGTTTAACATCAGAAAATTTTTACTTGAGAATCAAAACTATATATTACACAGAGGAGGTTCAGAATAATATTTGCCTCGGCGACAGTAACGTACATTTCAAATAGGCTACTGTATTTGAATTTGGAACTCCTTAAATACCCTTTCAGATCGATAATTAGATGAATTCTTATTCATTGTTATATGACTATTTATAATGTTGATTTAAAAATTACATATGTGGTATTTCTTTTAAATGAAAATGAGGCGACATTATTTGAGCCCTTATATTGAAAATGGGTGAAAGTTTTGCGTAAAAAGGCAATTATTATTATTAATGTAAAATATATTTCTTTCTCTTAACTGGCCCCAACGGGCTTCCATAGTGATTTCTGTTTTATCAATATTTCCTTTAATTAATATTATATTCTTTATAAAATTACATGTACATATTTGTAACAATTGTTTGAAATTTTTTTCTTGCTTTTGAAAAGATATGCAGCTGCTGTTTTCTTGAAAAGTTGTTACATCCTCGTTATTAAACTAGTTGACTGTACCTCATGGAACACATCTGTATAACGACACTTTTAAACAGCTGTTCAAAAGGTACACTTTCTTCATCTATTATGGAGTGAACTCACGCATAAGTGTTACATGTAACAAAACAAACCCAGTGCCACCTATTCATTGAAAGAATAAATCCATTTAAAGTTAATGTTAGATCAAATTATTTGCTTGTTTTAGTGCAGAATTTACAAAGAAAATAGGTATGGCAGTAAAGCGTTTTCAAAACAAAAGCGTTTTCTACATAATTAAGAAGGAAACCAACTATATTGTCTGATGTTATAAATGTTTCGATATTATCTCCCTTGTTGCGTTCTTTCTTAATGGAGGAGAGTTTTGTTTCCACGTAAACCGGCAGGTGCAAAGTTGACAAGATTCATGACAAAAACAGATATCGAAGCGCGTCCTAGAAACAGAAATATTGTTATGAACACAACTGGCATACCTTCTTCTCCGTGCACTTAATCAACTTACTGAGCCATGACTTACGATAAGGTAATTTATAATGTTGACATCTTTGGTCATTGTTTATACTGTTATTAAAGTATAAGAGAAGCCGACATTTTCTTCTTATAGTATACCGAAAACACAAATAACGTAAATATTTACATTTACTTTGATATAGGAACACTTCATATCAAGTGCAACGCTCTCCATTTCTTAAATGGATAAAGTCAGGATAATTGTGCTGTGTCTGTTTGCAATTGTTACAGGTAAGCATGAAATGATAATCGTTGCAACTTGTGTTTATTTTATGGAGTTGATTTTAATTTTTGAAAAAAAAATCCCGAGGACATGAACTAAGACACTTTAGGCCTGCATATTTTATGAAGCGCGTGATAAATATACACTCGTGAAGAGTTGTTGTCCATGTACCTCATGAATTTTCCAAAATTTAATTCATATCTTACCCTTACATTATTTTATTCTGATGACTTGCCACACATTTTTGTCAATCAGTGATCATTTTTGAAAAAAAAAGTTGCACTGTGTTTGACTTCAATCACATCACAATAGAAATTTTCATATTCATCCCATGGTAGTTCACGAGAACATGAACCTTTTTTCTAATGTGCAAAGAATCTTAACACTTTACAACTTACAAAATTGTTATGCAAAATAAACTGAATCCTCACGTCATAGAAATATTACGTTACCATTTCCCCGCAAGCACTTTCTAGCGGGGTACAAGTTTCTCTAAAGTTTAGCGTAAATAATATCATGACGTAATATTTTAATTAGAAAATAATTTTTCTTATTTTATGAGATTAAGCAAGTATGAAATAGTTGGAATTTGGAAATAAATTGAAGATTTAATGAACTTTTTAAAGTGCGTGAATATGCGTGATTGCGGGGAAACGGTAAATGCGTGATTTTGCGTCAGAAATAGGAAATTGTATATGCGTTAAAATGCGTGACTGCGGGGAAGGGGGTTAAGGTACATTCGTTGGAGAGTTAATTTTAGTAGATACCAAAAGAACAATTACTAAAAAAAATAAGTACTGATTTTGTACTTTTGATCTTTTTAAAGTTATAGATCAAAACGTAAGCGAAAAAAATATCGAAAAATGACCTGTATGTAAACAAATTTATTTTTATCTATGGTGTTATCTTTGGTTTATTCTCAGTTGAAAAAAAGAAATGTTAGTTTTAATATGCTAATAATGAAACATAACTGATACATTGTAACAGGTATCATTTTCAGTTGTACATCCCATGTTCATTAAACAAAACCAAATCATCATTGTAAATTTGCTTGCGTTTAGACATTTTTTTTAAATTTTAGTCGAAAATCAAATTCTTACTACAAGTTTTTATTTTGTGACCAACATTATGCTATAGTGTTATGTTTGGTTTATTTTAAATTGGAAAAGAATGTTAGTTTTAATGTGATATAAATGAAACATTACTAATAACAGTTTCCAGTTTTAGTTACATGTCATGTTCCTTAAACAAAACTGAATCTTCATTGTAGATTTGCTTGTAATTATACATTTCTAATTTTAGTTTAAATCACATTTTTTACTTGTATTTCTTTGTCATAGATGGTGTCTCTTTGTCTATCTTTGTTAGCCAAGGGTTTCTATTTAGCTACTCTCCTCATAAACCATTGGCATACGGTGCTGAAAAAGAGGGGAGGATTGTTTTCGTCACGTATCACGATTCCTATCAGGTTTGCACAAATTGCGTCATCGACAGAAATAAAAAAAAACGTATATAATGTTTTTGAAAAAAAATATATAAATTAAGTTATGTTAATTTGTTATTTCAACATGTTAGAATACAAATCTACATCTTCAGTATAGCTTGTTAATCGCATATTTTGCAAGTACATAAAGCTAAAGAAATTAGATGTCACCACATATAATGGCATGTTATCTTAGGGATCGTTGTTTATTTGCATTTTCCATAAAAGAGTCAAGATACATTTTCAACGCAATTGCTGACTGGTCGAAAAATGTCGATCAGCTTTAATCACATCATTCTTTCGAAAAAAAAATCCTTAGTTTTTTTTTACACCGTAGGCCAATGGCTTCTAAAAGAGTAGCGTATGAAAAAACCCTTGGCTAGCGGAGAAGCTCTTTTTCCAACAAACAGGATGATCAAGATAACAGTTGTCATTGAATAAAATGTGTTCGTTACCATTGTAGGTAACCAACTGCCTTTAGCGGATCAAGGTTTGGTAAACTATATCGCAGAAAATCTTGACGTCAAATATGACGTCATTAGCAATTTTGTTGATGGACGTAGATCTTTTACATCAAAAATAACACTAAAGAACACTGGAAATCAACCCATACCTCTTGAAAAATGGGAAATCTACTTCTTTGCAATTCGCCTCGTTCAACCAAATGCATTTCCATATGAAAATGGTTTAGTGCTGAGCGACTGTAAAATGAAATTATTTCATGTTGCCGGTAGTTTATACAAATTACATCCAATGCAAAACTTTTTGCTGAGTAAGCAAGAAAGTGTATACTGTGAGTTAGTTATGAAGTACTGGCAATCGGCAATAACAGATACAATGCCTAACTGGTACGTAGCGTCTGACGGTATGAAACCCAGAGACATCATTTCCACTCAAGGCGAGGGGTTGTCTTTTATAGGACCATTTAACAGACCTGAGCAATATAAACGTTACACGGACGATGGATGGCAACCATTTAGTCCTGAGAAAAGGTAATGTGATTTATAAAAAAAAATTATATTATAAATTTATCTTTTACTTGATTCATTTCATGTTTGCTTTTTAATTTATATTACCATGCATAATAGCAAGCGTCGCGAAGTGATGCTCGTCACGTCGAGCTTTTAAATCAATGTCTGGGTGAAGAGAAAATTCGGTTTTTGCACATTGATCTAAATGCTTTTTTTCGTCCCGCAGTTACCCGTGGTCCCGTAATGCTTATCGAATTGCATCTCGCCACAAACTACGTTCTCATGAGTCCGACTGTCCGTAACAAATTTTCGTCGCAGTTTTCTCTGTAACTACTTATTGCAGATGCTTGAACTTTTAACACAATCTTATCTTTGGCATGTCACATGGTGGGATACATTTTTGAACAGATCCGATGTCAACTTCCTGTTTATCCTTGTGTCTGTCCGTTTCATACATAACACATTTTCGTCGCAGTTTTCTCAGCAACTACTCAATACAGATGCTTGGAGTTCTATCACATACTTTGACAAGGCATTGGATAAATTCTTATTTGAATCTGATGTCAACTTATTTATCTGTGCATCTTCCCATAATTGAACTTGTGTATATAAAAATGGTAGAGTATATTAAGATCACAGCGGGGATATTATTAGTGAGCATGGCTCACAGAATTCTTCTTAATCATTTACATGATAGTTCGGGCATTTTACCTGCAAAGAAAAAAAAACGGTACAATGATATTACAAGATTACAATAGAATCTGACGATGAAAGAAAATATGGTTCCCTTAGCCTCAAATGAATACTAGTAGTTCAATTGAAATTATTAGAAAAAAAACTTTATATATATCATTATATGAATTCATGTTCATGTTTTCAACAATCCTCTAAAAGAGATCTCAGCCCGCATTTTCCGCAGCATACACGAGCCAAAGATAATCGTAATGATATAAATGCTCAATTATCAAAGTAAAACTACCCAGGGAATTTTTTTTGCAAAATAGGTCAATCTCAAGGGGATTGTAATGGTGCTATTTTCCATATGTCATTTGACAAACAGAGAACATGCTCAATACCAAAGACTTAACTTTTCAATGCCAAAATAGTCGCCCGCGTGGCGCAGTGGTTAGAGGGTCTGCTGTAGAGTCGTGAAGTAAGGAGTCAATCCTTATGTCGCGGGTTCGAATCCCACTGTGGGACGTGGAGACCGGTCCCTTGGATGAGACCTTAAAACCGAGGCCCCGTGTCAGCGGTAGGCGTTTGCACGATAAAGATCCCTTACAGCTCACTGGCCCTGAGTGCAAAGTACAGGACAAAATTTTGCATGCAGCTCTCCACCGGCAAGTGGTGGCTTCTCCATATGAGTGAAAAATTTAATTCACGAGAGGGACATTAAACAATATACAATCAATCAATGTCAAAATATGCTGTATGCACCACTATGAACTACTTTGAAGAAATAGATCAAAGTCAAGGTCAAGGTTCAAGAGATTAGTAATCATGGTAATTGACAATAGCTGTAGTGCCTAAGAAATATACATGCATGTGACCTCTTACAGCTCTCGATGTATAGGGTCTGAGCGAAAGAAAAACGGGCAGACGCCAGGTAAAGTAACCCCTAAGTGCCGCTCTGCTCTGCATGCCACACGAAAATGTAAGTGTGCAAAGCTAACACTGACATTTTATTTAAGATTCGCATCTTCAAATGGTGGTATCTTGATATGAGTAAAAAAGTCTCTAGAGGAACTTTAAACAACAATTTTAAAAAACTGCAAGATACTGATTTTAGACTCTTACCTCACATAAAATTGTACGTTGTGCGCTCACTAATATATATCAATCAAGATCGAGTCTCAAATAATTAGAACAAATTGACGTACTTCTTTCTATATATCACAGATATGATCTGAATGCAGCCATGACTCTAATACCTGATAAATCTCCGAAGCCGCTCATTCCCACACCTGTAGAAATCAAATTAAAGAGTGGAAAAGTGACCATTGACTCCGCTTGGATGGTCTTGAATTCTACACAGTTCTACCAAGAAACAGTTCTTATTGCAGGTCAGAATGGGATGTATTGTTCGTTTGCCTTTTACATAGTGTCAACCCTAACAATCTGAACGCATAAATTGCATTTATCTTGTTCATGGGACATTTCATTTTATTGCATAACCTTTCTTTCAACCTAGAAAACTGTACAAAATATAGACGTCACGACAGATTATTAATAAATTTAGATTTTTATTTCTATTTTTTTTTTTTTTGGATAATTTTTTGAATATGATTTGAAAATCGAACATTATATAACGTGTGTATTTATTCAAGAAATATTTATATGTTTTGTAGATTTATTTAACATAAGCATCCGATCTGAGAAACCAAACATAAAGTATATAGAAATAGTCAATGCATCTGATCTAGATTTTTTGAGCCAATCAGAAACGCAGAATGAAGCATATTCAATAGGAATAACTACCAATGCCATACATATATCTGCAACAACACGTATTGGAGTGTTTTATGCTTACCAAACCTTGAAAAGCTTAGCAACAGGTGGAAAAATACTCCCGGTGGGTAACATAAAAGATCAACCACGGTTCGCATACAGAGGATTGCATTTGGATGTAGGAAGGAATTTTCATACGAAGGAAACAGTTCTGAAGATTCTGGATACAATGTCTATGTTCAAGTTAAACAAATTTCACTTTCACTTGACAGAAGACGAAGGATGGAGGCTTGAGATTCCTGGACTTCCGGAATTAACAAAGGTTTGGTTATTTGCTTAAAGTCCCTCTCTGGAATTTCCCACTCATTTGAAGACGCCAACACTTCTTTATGGCAAGTTTACACGTATATTCGACACTCATTGCACCCCGGAGCACAAGGTTGCTCAATACCTATAAGTTTAAGTGTTGGTATATGGGGATTAAGGTGGGAGAAGTTTATTAAAAATTAAAGGTTTTCTAAACATTAAAAAAGATTAAGGTTATAAGAATATTCTTTCTCTTTATAAGTTAGGAGATAATAATATATTTACTTCCAAAAAGTGAATATGTAAAAATATATATGCCTCTTTATATTTAATAAATAAAGTTGCCTATCATTTACTATCGAAAAAACGACAGGTGCTTTTTTTTAGAACATCGAAATTTACTTATTGCATTAAAACGTACTGTAGATAGTTCGTGTTTTATATTCTTAAAGTGAAAATACATTTTTGAATATAGGTGATGCATATGTTGGTTTCAATTTATATTTTATGCATCTAACATTTACTTGAGTAATTGATCAATTTTAAAAGGATATCGTTATTTTTTCAGTTATCAACCGACTATAAGTTTTCAAAATGTTCTCGACTATCATCTCCATCATTTAGACGCACATCTTTTTCACACATATCGAAGCGGTTTGATGATCAAGACGCATTACCGTTGTCGTTGTTTACTTTATTTATTTCCCGGGCGGCAATTGATGGTTACATCAATGTTATCTTGTTGAGTATTGAGGAATCTTTTTTGTACCAGCATTTTCTGTGACACGGGACCTCGGTATGGTCTCATCCGAAGGACCGTCTCCACGTTCCGCAGTAGATTCGAACCTGCGACGTAAGGAACTGTTCTTACTCGCGACTCTAGAGCAAAGAAAATGAGATGTAACCATTTCAAGAATTTAACATCTGAATAAAAAAAGGAGCACACGGCGGGTGTGACCGGTCGGCAGGGGATGCTTACTCCTCCACGGCACCTGATCCCACCTCTGATTTTTCGGGGGACCGTGTTTGCTCTGCCCTTATTTTGCATGGTTTTATGGACTTTGAGATTAAATACTGTTTGTTATCTCCATATCCTTCATTGATTGGAACAGTATTAAGGTCATTTATTCTTTTGTCTAGGTAGGCTCTAAACGGTGTCATGACCTGAAAGAGGATACATGTCTCATGCCCCAGCTAGGATCCGGATCATTGGAAGGTGATATTGGTTCTGGATTTTACACAGTTGAGGATTACAAAGAAATGTTGCGATATGCCAGTGAACGTCATATTCAAGTTATTCCGGAATTCGACATGCCAGGTCATTGCAGAGCAGGAATAAAAGCAATGGAGGCAAGATTCCGGAAATATCTCAGTTATGGAAACGAAACAGCTGCACGAGAATATTTAATGACGGATTTCTCCGATACTACTCACTACCTGACAGTTCAATGGTTTACAGACAATGCAATCAACATATGCATGAATTCAACACAAACATTCATACGATACCTTATCGAGTCGATAATCAATCTACATAAAGATATACAACCATTACAAATATATCATTTTGGAGGTAAGTTTTTTAAAACGTTTAGGAATTTTTTCAATGGCCAGACTTTTGAAAGGGAATATCAGAATTATTTTCTGATTAATAGACAACATATACTGAAAGAAAAAAGAAACGCAGGGTAAACTTTTGAGGTGAATTAAATTTGTTTTTCTTAAAATATGTTTTAGTTTTCCTATCTAACTTTTAAAATCATCTTTCAAAACGATATATCCAAATTCCCATTTGATTTTGTCAGATAATTCATGAGTTATTGAAGCTCAAATACGATACCCCCCAAAAATGAAAATCGAAAACTCTTATTATCTTCAATGTCTCTCCCATGCATCTGTCAAAGCCTTATTTCTCCTTTGCATAAATTTCATCAGAGTGTTTATCTTTCTACCCTGGCTATATTTAGCATGAACAACCAAGCAAAAAGAAATAAGTCTAACGGCTCGCGCATGCACCAGTGAGAGGAATACAACAGTAAGTTGACTAGCTCAAAAACCAAATTGCGGAACTGTTTTCTTTCAAATTTCGTATGAATGTAATGATTATAATCGTCTACTGTATAAATGGCTGTTTTTGTGGTAGTAAGGTGGCGATTTAAGAGATGGCAGGACGAATAACCCGCTCGAAACATGGCTTTGTTTCGCGTTAACGTCATCGTCACGGTTGATTGAAAACCATTCCAGACCCTCTCTGACAACGAATAACAATTTTTATGGGGGGAAATTTACAAGAAACTGCTTAATAAACCGTTGTTGCCTTTTTCATTAATTAGGCAATTCGAAAAGAAGACCCCATTGAACTTCCATAAACTGTGCCAAGATCGCAAGAAATTCATTATGTCTCTTAATATTGAAAAACGATGTGCATACCTCATATGCATCAAATACTGCAACAAGATTTGTTGACAAACTCGTCGTTATCAAATTGCACGTGTTTTGGGCTTTTTACCGTTTTCCGTACATGACATCATAAATTTTACGGTTGAGTAATTCTGAATACTGATTTTGGTGCACAGTAACTAAATTTATCTTCTGATCAATTTTCGTGATTTTCGGTCAATTGCTAAAAATTTATTCGAACATTTTGCTACCCTGCGTTTCTTTTTCCTTTCAGTATATTAAAGATTAACACATGTCATTGTACATTATTTAACATGCTCTGTATATTTTTTTCTTGTACATCAGAAACAGGCAAAAAAATAAAATAATAAAGTGTGCTGATGGACACCATTATGCCCCTAAAAAATAAAAAAAGTGAATAAGTACACTTTCCTTACATGCTCCCCAACTAATCTCACAACAGCATGGGAACAAATTGTTTTTATTCGGTGTGTTTCCATGTAGGCGATGAGGTAGCTGGGGCATGGATTGATTCACCCGAGTGCCAAAAATTCCTCGAAAGAAAGAACCTTCACAATACAACGGAGCTTAAAAAATATTTTGCCCAAGCCATGGCTAAAATGACGGACAACAGAGGTCTTACAGCAGCTGCATGGGCGGATGGTTTGATGATAGAGGGACATACACCGTATAATATCAGTGACCTTCCTACTAAAAAGTAAGTATCACAGTCTTATTAAATTTACTATTTCTGTGATATCTAGTATACCCTTGTTTTTTCTGTTTGTTTGCTTGTTGTTTAAGCCCCTCTCAAGAACTTTAAACTCATTTTTTGATGCCTCACTTGCCATTGGAGGGCTGCATATACCTATATCCGGTACTCAGGGCTATTGAGCAGTAAGGGATCTTTTTCATGCCAATTCCTACCGTAAGGATCGGCCCCTTACTCTACTCCACGACTCTTGAGCAGACGCTCTAACAACTGCGCCACGCGGGCGAGGATTTTATTTTGTCTTGTTTGTAAAGCAAACTATCTTTGGGACGTATTTAATTATCACCTATAGTTCATACCATTTGTAAGATCATTGCTTATATACTGAATTTAACTACGGAGTACTTCTTTTTCTACACGGTTAATAAATAGGGTTCATGGCGGGTATATCTGGTTAACAGGACCGGTCCGTAGGATGAGACCGTGTAAACCGAGAACCCCTGTTGCAGTGGGTGCTGGCATAAACGATATCCCTTCCTGCTAAATAGCCCTGAGTGCCGAGTATAGGACAAACTTTGCAGCTCTCCACTTGCAAATTGTGGCGTCTCCATATGTGTGAAAAATTCTCGAGAGGGACATTAAATAATATACAAACAAACAGACAAACTCCTTTTTGGCACCCAATCTTACCTTAAACATTCCAAGGGTGCCTGTTTTCATTTTGCTTACTGGATTACAAACATTGATAGCATATTGTTATCTTCGCATTTCACATTCAGTACATTTATGATCATCAAAATGATTCTGATATTTCTTAAAGAACTTTGTTCGGTAATAACCATCAGAAATAGGAAATTGTATATGCGTTAAAATGCGTGACTGCGGGGAAGGGGGTTAAGCTTTTAACGTTACATGGAAGGAATTTTTTTTTTTTGGTTTATTTTAGAGTTCTGCTCTGTTTGCTGTATTATTCCAATGAATAGGACTTCAGAGCGAGAATTCATTCTGTTCTTTATCTTCATAAACCCTGAAAATCTGTTTTTTGTTGTAGGTAAACTTTTATGTGAAATACTGTGAAAACACTAATTTTCGTAGAGGGTTCATTATTGTTATTTTCAAGATATAAAGAGACCCACGACTTTATGTCCACCACAAAATGCAATTTCTCATATACATTACTACTGAACAATTCTTTGACCACAAATTCAAATCTAACTGAATAAAGATATTTTCCTCAAAATACGAAAATTTGTCCCCTAAAAAATATGTGATTTTACAGTACAGTACATCGGTTGAATTGCTACCAAACTAAACGTACGATGTTGCTTTAATTTATTGTAACGTTATCACAAAACTACGTATACTTTGTCCTTTAACTCTTATGTAATATATATCGTTTTTAGAAGTGATGATGTTATAGTTTGCAGCTAAGTGTAAAGTTTTACGTTACGTCACGATCTAGTTGCCAGCTGTCCTCAAGATAAATTGTACACACCTCCTAACCGCAAGCTGTACGACTGGAACTTTCTTCTTCTCCCTGATTAGTTGCTCGTGCAACAGACTATTTCCGTGTCAATGTTGATAATTTGAAATGACCAATCACGTGATTTGTTTACACTGGATGTATCTGACGAAAAAGATCGTGACGTATTATGAAACTTTACACTTAGCTGCAAACTTTGATATTTATTATTAATTTATTAACATTCTTGAAATAAGCTTTGACCTAAATTTCTGTGTTTAGCATTCGGACTCTTAAAATCAATTCAATAAAGATAATTCAAATCATTGATAAGATGTAATATTATTATTTTCAGAAGCATCATCGCGTATAACTGGGATAATCTTTGGGAGAGAGGACACGGGGATAAGGCATATAAATTAGCCAACGCTGGCTACAAGGTCAATGTATTTTAGAATTTGTTTCTTT